CAGGTTTTCTGGTTTGTTATTAGGTGCCAGTGAGAAAGTGCTGATGATCTTTCAGCAGATGCTAAATATTTTAGATTACCACGGCACTCCTAATTCAGATTGGCTTCTTCCTCATCAGGTGGAGATGATGTTTGTGCAGTGTGCCTCACACAGAAATTAAGATAAAGAAGGCAAACAGTGTTCTTCATGAATGTGCTGGACTTTGGAAGGAGGAACCTATTTTATTGATGGCAAATACGAAACTGCATTCAGATGCTGTACTGGAAAAGCCTGCTTGCAACTATAGTTAATAATTTACATGCATGTGCATACAGTAGCCTTCAAGTGACCCTTGCAGCCTAAAAGCCCCAAACAGCAATATTAAGGAGGGATTAAAAAACCCTAAAAAAACTAACTCAGTAACCTCAGTAACTTGACGTTTTCTGTCAGCGACAGACAGACCCAGAGATCAGTACATAATACAATATTGCATTCAGGCAAAATCAAGGCACGAGGTGTGGGAATTTAGTCTTACTTCCAGGTACGTGCCCGATTATTTGGTTTACGCTGTGCTGGGTGTCTGCTTCCTTAATCAGAAAAACTTTAAAAGCTTCATCGGTTAGTTCTCTAAATGTTTTCCTTTTTCTTAAGCTGCTTTTGTAAAAGTGGCCTTTATGATGCTTCTAAAATGCGATGGTTCTAAAATGCTGTGGAGAGGAACAATACTACCGACATGTTTAATGTGTTCCTGATTTTTTTCAGTACAACAGTAGAGAACACTGATGGCTAGCAGAAAAGCCTACATGTGGAAACTTGACAATGCTTACAAAATTATTCATTGTAATACTGATCATTTAGAGTAATTACCATGACATAAACAAATTTTCAAACAGTTAAGCAAATTATAGAGGGCAGAAACAACAATGTATGGCTTGTTCTAAACATTTATTGTTTCCTTATCTAGTCTCCTTTTCTTAACCTGAACTCCAAAAAAAGTTTATAATTAATAAATGTTTTTAAATCCTGTATTTGTTTGTAGCTGTTTATTGTAGCCCCAGCAAAAACAGCTTCCGCTGGCTCTTTCCTTTGGTAGATGTCATGAATCTTGTTCTACAATTGCCAACAGTAAAATATACCAACAGTACAATTTACTTAAGAGACAGTTTGGGATGGTGTGGGATGTAACTCCGAACAACTTTTTTTTATTTTTAAATCTTTGCTTTTTAAATCTCATCAGCAAAATGGACTGGAACATGTTCTGTTGGCTACGATTATAATGGTGTGTGGTAAATTTAAAATACTGTCCCCTAAGGGCCACAACATGATGCAGCTTGCCCCTAGTCTTTCCTAGCCCTGCCAACTACATCAGCCCTTGGGCAAAGTTAATCTCTTCCTGATGGCCTTTGCTTTTGCCCCTCCCATGCTTCCTTTTCTATTTTGAATACTCTTCCAGGTATTTTGGCAAGCCTCCGCCTTCCTTCCCAGGACTCCCACACATTCCAGAGCTGGTTAGCACAATCACAGAGTTCAAGCATTAACCAGAAGCTTAAAGTAATCAAACACAAACCTCCCTGTGTATTCCCCTTCTCTTATTTGGCTACCACCTCTTCTGGACAGGCCTTTATCACACTTACTGAAGCTGCTCAAACACTTAGGGAGTTTTAAGAAAACAAGACTGGATGATTCTATCTATCCCATGGAAAGGTCTTGCAAAAAGGCAACGTTGCTTAAGAATTTTCACAAGTGGAAAGGAAGATGAAAACAAACATCAGGACAAGCATTTGGGCAGAGAACTCCTGTCAAACAAAGGTACTATTTTGTCACCAATACTGATTGTGAGCAGTTGCTGTAAGCTCGGCTTGACTAGATGAATCAATTGAGGCTTCTAAAGAACTCACTGGCACACAGGGAACAACGAATTTTAGACATGCTAGGTTTTTCAGACTGTAGGCCAAACCCAGAAAAATACAACCATCAGAAAGTGATTAGCCACTGGTGAAAACTCTGATACACCTAAAAACCCTCAACACACCCCACTTCCTCTGCTGACTCTGAACATCCAGTAGAGAGCTACCACAGCCAATACTCATCTTTCAGAAGTACCCTCTACGTTTTCCTTCACTGAAGGTGGAGGAACCTCCTTGTGGGAAAAATGCTGTCAGTAACATGACAGTTCTGACTGATACTGTCGTGTATCATGGGATTCTCCTTCAGCTATTTTGGGAGAGGTGAAAAAAGAAACTACTGGTGTGATGTCAGGTGTGTCACCACAGAACAATCTGCTTATTCAAGTAAGTTACGGAAGTAAAAAATAGTATGGAAGAGTTACTTGTCTTGGGGGAATATGCAAAGCCTGGCATTAGGATCAGAGCCTGTCCTGTGCTTCCACGGTTACGAGCACGATGGCTGTCAGAGTCCTTGCCCTTATTTACAATTTCATGCAAGTATTAGAGCAAAAAATTAGTCACGTCCTATGATTCATTTTGTACACCGAGATAAAACTCATTCTAACTTGCTGATGTGATTTATGTTCACCAGTTAGATTAAATCCATTTGTTACTCAGGTACGTAAAACCAGGAAATTGTTTGCAAAAATAGCAATAGCATTATGGACGAAGGGCAAGGCATGTCAAATGTGAAAGCTGAAGTGCTCTTAAAAAATCCACCCCAACTGGCCAAATTTTGCACAGAACTTTTTCTAAGAAAAATAATTCAAAACAACATGTCTGTGGTCTTCAGCTTTATCATCATAGTCTGAAATCACAGCTTTACATGATGAATTAAGAATTCCACATGCAACTTTATTTTGGTATAAACATTTGCATGAGACATAAGAGAATGCAGAATGCACCTCCAAATACAAATCTCCAGATGCATGCAACATATTCTTAAGAAATATTCTTAAGAACATATTATTTAAGAAATAATTTTTGGAAAAGTCAATCAGAAAAACAATTACACAAGCCATACATGGTCAGGAAAAGGAAGAACCAGGAGGAAGTATCTTTGATTCACATACTAAGTCACTAATATCTATAAAAATGTGTTTAAATAGCTATTTGAACTACTCAGAAATTGAGCTAAATACTATAATTTCCTGTATGCTGTAAATTACTTTTGCCATTCTAAACTCAAAATAGTAAGAAGATGTTCTACTTTTATCTTTCCGTCATTTAAAACCCCCCCACCACCTTTTGCTTTTGAATTAATGAGTTGGTAGTCATTCTATTTACTTCATCCAGTAGAGCTGAAATTTCAGGTAATTGCCACACTTTTTCGTTTGCTTGAAAAACATGCAAACAGTGTGCACAACTAACCAAGAGCTGATTCCAGTGAACTGTTGCTCTCTGTTTAACAGTGGGAAATAGCAGGTAATAACCCTTATACTTAAAATGCAAATACTGAGCAATACTGTGCAGCTATTGTTTTTCAGTGACAAAACTAAATATATCTGTAATAATTCTAGCTAGCTAGAGAATCATGCCAAACTAACCACAAGCATCAGAGGAACCTAGAAGAAAAATACACTGAATGTATTTTCATACATCAATAAACAGTTTATAAGAGTAAAATACACTGAAAAATACACTGAACGTATTTTCATACATCAATAAACTGTTTATAAGAGTATGGTATAACTGTTTCCTTAGGAATTAGTCAACAACTTTGTGCTTCCATTTTATAAGCAATTAAAAACCACCAGTGGCAATAACACAACAGCACAAGTGTTGTGTTCTTGCAGTTCACGATTTCAAGGTTTTTTGGTTCAAGAACTGAAATATATAATTTATGTCGTTCTCATTTTTAACAGCCTGAAAAAGACAGATTCATCAGCCTAAGTAGCATACTCAATTCTAAGAAGCAAAAAAAAAGCAAAAGTTTCTGCACCAGCACAGTATTAGGGGAGTCTTGTTGTATCACAGTGAAAAAAAAGATAACCTAAGCCCACCTACTTAAATGTAGAATAAAATTAGTGCAAATTTTTGCTACCATGAGAGGATCTTAATTTTGCTCAGCTGGAAAAAAAAAAAAGCTCTATAAATCTCTCTAAAAATCTCTCTATATAATAGCTCTATAAATCTCTATATTACTCTTTGAAGAACAAAAGACGACAGAAAGAGAAACGCACAGTAGCAGAATGAAGTGTTTGCAGAGGTTTTGCTGCATAGTTTAAAGATCACATTCCAGCCTTTCCAGTTCCACATGATGCTTACAGCCACACAGACGTCTCTAAGTAATTTAAAGTTCAGCTCAAAAAAAATCCTAATGTGAAAGAAACTAGAATTTAGAATTTGGCGGAAAGAGCGAGTTCTGTAATACTAAGAGAAAAACTCTTACTATGTGCATTAAACAAAATGAAAAGTTTCTACCTGCCACGGTAATTTCATTTATTACACGTGCAATTTGACTGCGACGTGTTAACAGCTCACAATAGCCACAGATTTTAACGTGATGGACTCACAGTACTAAAACTTACGTCAATGTGATTAATGGGCATTTCTTGGTTTTGGATGACTGTCTCACCAAAAGAAGTTTAGCCTTTGTGTGCCAGTCAGATGTCATGAGGTGGGTCAGTCTTCGCATTCAAACAGGGCAACAGATAGTAAAAAACGCAGAATCACAGAATGTGAGGGGTTGGAAGGGACCTCAAAAGTTCATCTAGTCCAGCCCCTCCGCCAGAGCAGGATCACCTAGAGAAGATCGCACAGGAACGCTTCCAGACGGTTTCTGAATGTCTCTGGAGAAGTAGACCCCACAACCTCTCTGGGCAGCCTGTTCCAGTGCTTCCACTGCTTTTACGACTTACTTCTGCAGTAAGAAATGCAACAACACGTAGAGCAACAGACTCAAACAGTGACGCAGAAGCCCAAAGAGCACAAGAGACAAATATGTTATTTTCATTTTCGTTGCACAACTTAACGATGTCAAGAAAAACAAAAACAGAGTGCAGGTACTTCAGAAACCAGAGGAGGATTTGGCTTGTGGTTAAAGTCTTTAGATTTCCAGGAAGTGAAATATCATCAAGTATCTTCTTTTCCAGAATATATTAAGCAGGACAAATCCAATTTAGTTTTTAATGCTGTTGAAAGTTCTCTTGATAGTAGCTCATGAAGCGATACTCTGTCATGAGAATACACCCAATTCCGACCAGTCCAGTCATATCGCTTTGGCCCACTAGAAAACAAAACACACAATGTGTAAGGACAGATTATTGATGGGAGAGCTGCTGGAAGCCCATATTTATAATGTACCCCAAGGGGATGCGTTAGTTGGGAAAAAATTACATTTAATAGTGCTGACATTTCATCATACACATTACTTTAGATAGTATCACTTGACTAGCATAATAAGTATACAAATAGTTTCTAGTAGTTTCAATTCAGCCTGTTCAAGACCTGGAAAACTCAGAAATCAATAAAATGCATAGAACTTTTGAAATGTGCATATGCTGCCTTTTGCTCAGTGACTCTCAATGAGGATTTCTCTGTCCAGCTCCGATTTAGTCATCATTCTCTTGGAATATTAACTATTTTGGCGACAGCCCTCGTGGATTATCTCATAGGTATGTGCAAATTGTCAAGATTGTTTCCTAATCAGGATTTTTAAACTATGAACTGGTAGCTTTCTGATGAGAGATATTCTCCTGGGTATGCTAAGTGATAACATTATTGTTTATTCGCCATGAGGAGGGCAGAAGAGGGAAGAATTCTAGTAAGGTTAAAAAAGGTAATTCATACATGAAATGTGCTGTTTACTTGGACCTGAACTACAACAGAAATCCCCAAAAGGAACACACAGGCTGGAGAAGTACTGGTGGGCAGCCTGGGGAAGTGGAGCAGAAAAGGCTGGATCTGCCAGAAACTGCTGAGCCATTTCAACAGACACATTTGAAAGGTGACAAAATGTATCACTTGCTCTCAGCGGACACAAGCTCCTACCCTTCTTGCTTTTGGCACTCGTTTCCCCAATTTCTTCTCTCACCCCCTTCTTCCCTCACCTGATTTTCTCGCACACAAATATTATAAAGGTTATTTGTGTAGCATTGAATTAATGCTACTGATTAGTTCTTGCAGCAGTCACACACAGACACTCTAAGCACAGGAGAACACAGATCACCATTCTCATTTTCTTTTTAGAATCACAAAATAGAGTCATGGAATCGTTTAGGTTGGAAAAGACCTTTAAGATCATTGAGTCCAACTGTTAACCTAGCAATGCCAGGTCCACCACTAAACCATGTCCCTGAGCACCACAGCTATGTGTCTTCTAAATACCTCACGAATGGTGACTCCACCATTGCCGTGGGCAGCCCGTGCCAATGCTTGACAACCCTTTCAGTGAAATTTCTCCCATCCAGTCTAAACCTCCCCAGCACAACCTGAGGCCGTTTCCTGTCATCCTATTGCTTGTTACTTGGGAGAAAAGACTGACCTTGCTACAACCTCCTTTCAGTTAGTTGTCTGAGATGCAACAAAAGAATTTACCAGCTGAAAGTGAGTGTATTGGCATATGGGAGATTTATATTAAAATGGTGGTTTGCTCTCTGCTATCACGTAGTGTTGGCTTGATTTTTCAGGCCTACATTTAAGTATCAAAAAAGAAACTTGAACTCCTGTGTTCCACTCCAGGCCTTTCTATCCATCCAGCTCTCCACATCTGAAACAGGTGAATGACTGGAAGGCACTCACTACTGTTAACATCAGCTAGGGAAACTAAGAAATGAGAAAGGAATGAAGTGGTGGTCCTGGATAGACAAACCATCAGGTCTTGAACTCACAGGAAAAAAACACCTTGGAAGTCAGAACTCAGGTCTGCAAGAAAGCAGACTGCCCAATGTATGCGCAAGAACAATCTGCATGTTCTCTACAAACATAAACACTGAGCTGAACTGTGAATATCCTGAATAATTGAATACCCTGCAATATTGGAATGAAGAACTTCCTAACCACAAACCAAACTATGAGAATTCACAAAGGCAATCACCAACCAAAGTCCACTTGCTCTGTGTGAACTGCAAACTATCTGGAATTGAGATTACGTGCTCCAGTTACTTTTCTTGGTCCTTTGTGTTTGCTGTACAAGCATATGTTTACATTGTCCTGCACCTAGAGAATGACAGAATGGGATGCAGCCATTCATGAAAATCAGGCTAAGACAGGTCATTTAATCAACAACAACAAAGAAAAGAAATGCATACGTTATCTGAACTGTTTTTAAATATTACATCATAAGTATCAGTGATATGGTTAGCGTATGAAAGACTTCCATAGTTCTCTGGATCTTCAAAATGTTGTGCAAATATGATTTTTTAAAATTTAAATTAACAATTTAAGCAAGGATCTTGTGAATTTTATGAAATGTCTACACAGTTAAATACAGACTAAATGTATTTCTCATTAAAGGTCTGCATGCATTTTTAAACAGTAAGAGAGAAGAATTAAAACGCCACATGAAGGTATTATTAAGAGATGCTGTGTAAGGTTGAAGAGTCTTTTCAGTCAAAGTTGCCACATGAAATTAATGCAATCACACTGGCCGGCAGGTTATATCCAGCCCCTTTTTTTAAACTGTCAACTAAGTAAAGCTTAACAAACACAAGCTCAGGTTCCCCAGACGCATGATAGAAAACAAGAGATAAAAAAAATCCTGAAAATTAGTCTTTCAAATCTTAAGAATTTGTCTCCCTTGGGATACACTCTTAAAGATTCAAGAGTCTAGATTTAGCGTACAAATTTCCCAAATATAACATTCAATGCAAGTGATCTCTGGCAGCAACATTTGCTTCTTTCACTTCCTAGTACATTGCCCTTAAGAAGTAATTCACTCTAGTTTACTTGTTAGAGTTGCTCTTCAGAAGTTAGGAAATAAGTGAACATGTAGGATCATATTTCAGGAAATACCACTGTTTACCATAACACCAGTTAAGGAAGCACAAAACTTAATGCTTGTAGGTGAGTAATTTTTTCATCACAGATGAATTTGCAAGTTTATCTCGTCCCTTGTGTACTTTTATTCACTACTGGAGCAATCAAAAACAAGAGAACCTTTTTTCACAAATTCCATATTCTGGAACGTGTACATCTTAGCTGAGCTAGAGCTGGCTCCAAACAGATAGGATTTTAAAAAAAATTTTGTTTTTCATAAATAGATAAAAGTTTTGTCTCAGTGACACAAAAATCTTAAGTAGAATCAAGGTCCATAACTATGTTTATGGCAAAATATACAGAATTAATAAATCCTGCCAAACAGCCTGCATCTGTCTAACCAAAAAGGTTTTCTAGTTTCCTAGGCCTGGTGTCTTATCTAGTCATGCCCCTGCTACATAAATTATTTCATTAATAAAAGGATTCTGAGATAGGAGTTAGTAGGAAAAAAAAAACCCTAACCTAGTACGCTGTGCATCAGCCAGTACATAAGTACACTACAGCAAAGTTACAATTTTCTTTAAGTAAATTCTGCCTATTAAAATTGTTTCTCTTAAAATCTTGAATTCTGTTTTGCTTTTTCTTTACCCCACTACAGAATTCCACTACTGCAAAACCATTCCCAGTTTTGCAATCAATACATTCTTTCTGAACAACGCTGAAGATGTACACCTGCACAGTTACCAGCAGACCTCATACTTTCCAGCTGGCTGGATCCTCCACCAGTAACACTGAGCAACCCTCCCAGCTCTTCCCCGAGGACAGTGGTAGGGAATACAGTTTTTGGAGGGAGATAGCCACAACACTCTTCCCATATACCTGGGTGACCTCCCTACTGAAACCAACGAGAAAACCTGGAATGGATCATCTCACAGCAGCAGGGGAGGCAGGGAGAACAGCTAGCCCAAGCTCCCGCAAAGTGCAGCTGCCTGACAAAAACAGCCAGTGGGAAAGCACATAAACATGTAAAGCAGGAAATCCCACAAGCTTAAAAGGGAAGGAGCCACCCTGTCTAAATACAAAGAGAGGTTTAAATCATAACGTCATCATCACTCTTTTTTCAACAGAAGCTTTGGTTGTTTGTTTTGTGTTTTGGGTTTTTTTAATCATGCCTCTTTATTCTTTTATGAGTAGGCTATATAGGAATATATAGAATGATTTGGGAATGCATTAGGGTATAAAAATTCTGCATTATGCATTTTCTGGACTAATTTAAGTACGTCAAGATGCTGCACTGTGCCTCAAACCTCTGTAACAAATATTATCAAACATGTAGATTATATCACATTTTGAGAATATACTGAATAAAAGGGTTACTTATGAAAAGGATATTACATAGTCCGAGCCACGTATAGAAAAAATGGAAGGTACATTTCCACCCAGTCTGCAGACATTACGTAACTTACCTAGTGGGTGAGGACAGCCAAATCTGCCGGTTAGGTGTTTGCTTATTGATTACATATGTTCCCATGTCTCCACCTAATTTAACTGTTAGAACTCCACTCTAAAAACACAAAGACAATAATTGAGAAATTAAATTTTTTAATCCAGTTACTTGAGAAGAACTACAGTAGATACACAGAAACTTACATATCTGTATCACATTCCAAACAATAACAGCTTGGAAGAATCATAACATTAAGTATCAAAAAACTTGTGTTGATACCTAAGACAACCTGTGTATCTCTGAGTCTGATCTAGACTTTAAACCTTCTGGTCAGAGTTTGATTCAGTGTGTTTGCACCATTCAAAATGGCACTACTTAAATACTACTCTTGAGCTTTGACCTGCCATCTTGAAAGGACTGCTCGTTCAATTTGCAATGATTAAAACATCGTCCAATAACAACATTTCAAGAGTTCATTGTTTTCATGAACAATACAGAACTGGTGTGGTTCAAACTCAAGTAGCTTTACGTGCAATTTTATCTAACTTCTCTTAACTGTAACAGTTTCCCAGTGAATAAACAAAATGTGTTCTCCAATAACACTGACAAAGTGTCTAGATCCTGAATCATACCTCAAAAATGTTCCACTTCTAAACTCCATGAGGCCTGATTCATTTTAGTTATGTCAGCTCATTATACTAGTGAACATTTATTTACTTTGTCTTACATTTCTTACTGACAACATGATTCACATTTTTCTGACATTTTCACAAGTGCATCTGAAAAGCATATGCAATGCTGACAAAAATATTTCTGTACTAATTTTAAAAGAACAAGAGTACTTGGACCAGAGTTAACTTACAGATGATCTGAATTATTCTACTTAAAAAGGGTATTTCTACAGAACACGCTTTGATGATTCAGGTAATAGGTCACTCTTATATTTAATCTACAGTTTCGCAAATACTTCATGTCCTATAGCATGCTAAATCTTCCTTAAGGAACTTATACTCTCCACGCTTTACTCCAGTCAGAAGATACTACTAGAGCTACTATCATTGCAAGGGCTATTTGCTATGTATAAACACTTACTGTAAGGCAAAAGTACTTTAATTTACGAGTACCTACTGCCTGCCAACTAACTCTGTAGCACTGGCAGCACCTTAAAACTTCCTTCCCTTACAAAGCAACTCAGTGTTAATGGTTTCTGATCTATCTCAAAGACTATCAGCTATGAAATAATATTCTCAAGGTCTGTGGAGTTTTTGGGGGTTTTTTAACCTTAGTTTCCATGCTGTTTCTGTGCTTAATAAGAGATTTATATCTATGAACAATACAGTAAAAAATAAAAGGCTCCCCTGGTTAATGCTGCCATCAAGCTGCCCTGCCAGTTAGGAATTGGCTATTGGTTTAATGCAAAGAAGGGCAACAATAAGCTACCTCCTGGTTCTCACAATTCAAGCTTTTCTGTATCTCAGTAGTCTTAGAGCTGTCGACATACAGCAGAATAAAAATAGGTTGGAGGATTAAGCCTGAATAGCAATACAAAGGCTTCCCTATTCTTCTGCGTGCCATATTAAGTATTTACCATGATGTTACACTGTATTCTCCCTATAGAGAACACTGTATGTAAAAAGAATTAACAAGAAAATTATACTACTGCTTACATTGCATGTCGGCTGTCAGAGAGTGTTGTTGCCCTGTCATTGCAAATTACATAAAGGTTCTATTGCTGTGTTTAAAATGTTTTTCCATCCATTACACAATACTTTTGAGATAGTAGAAAATACAACTTGATGTTTTAAGAACTTAAATTGCAAGATATTTTTACCATATTTTAAGGAATGCTACTGTAGGTGCTTTGTACTACTTGATCAGTGTTTGCTACCTCCCAGTAACAAGAATGTTATTTGAATGACATTTTTTTTCCTCTGGACACAAAGATACAAATTGCATGAGGAAATTCAGTTCATAACAAGTCACAGGTGTAACAGACCTTTAACATGTTCGCCACCTCGTGGCTTGGGATAGCACTCACCTTGTCTTTTTGAGATCAACTTTGTAAACTTTGAAACATTTAACCTCTCACTCTTAAGAGAAAAGACAACCTATTAGTACGTCACCATACACTATACATTACAAAGTTACTGGTAAAAATTAAGATGGATGTAAAAATAACTTGTGAGCCTCCCAGTGAGTTAATGTCAAACACAATCCTCTCTACAGTGGCGGAGATAAAATTCTGACATAAGATGACTCATCCCCTTCACATAACACAGTGTTTAGGAATATTAAAAAAGGAAATTATAATCCTTTTGCTATTTTTTTTTGTTCTAAACTCTTTAAATTAGGCTAATACGCACTGATATGCTGCAATATGCTGAAGAGCAATGTTAAACAATTCTTCGCTTTTCATGCTGTAACATTACTTTTCACGCTGTAATATTAAGTACATAATTAAAGCAACAAATAGTATTTGCTAAGGGCAATGACAGACTCCTACTAACAACACATCACTTTTCATCTCAGCTATAAGAAATAAAGAATGAACATTATTATGACAAATTTACACAGAAGCAAGTTTGAAAACTACATGGTTTCTTTTTTCTTTTTTTTTTTTTTGCACAGTGCAACACAAACTATCTGCTTCGATGTCCCCAAGCATAAAACCTTAACTGACAGGGCTAGTAAAAAGCAACTTTCTTGCAGTAAGAGCAAGTATTTATCTGACCTCAAAAATATACAGCAGTGGAAGACCTGCATGGCAGATGGCAGTGTAGAGAGAAACTGCTCTCCTCTCCAAATCATGTAGAGGGCTCCAGTATACAAACCACTTCAGGAATTGAATATGAAACTAATAACTTCCCCACACAAACAGAATGGACGTTTTAAACCTGAGCCTGTCACTGCTGTAAAGGAGTATGAGTGGCTGACTGATTAAAGGCTCCAATTACCAGGCTAGCAGCCACCCCACATATCCCGTAACAGTAGCCTTCTCACCTCGTATGCTCTGGTCTCACTTTGGCAACCACCTGTAAAATCATTGAATCCTCTTGTTGCTTCTCTCTACAACTGGCTGTCAACAGTAAAGCCAGGACTAATATTTTGTACCTGGTCAAGACAAATGTTGCTTCTCACTATTCAGGGCAATCAAAGAAACTGCTCTTCCAGGCACGTGTGATGTACACATACTATGCCGTGTAGGCCTGCCCTAGTATTAAGCAAGTGACTGCTGATGTCAGAGGTCTATCTGTGTTTAGAAAATTCTAAAGACTACTGTGAAATTAGAATAAAAAATTAGCACAAGATATTTTCTATGTCTTGTTCTATACACTAAGCATTCTAAACTGCTAAGACACAAGAGCATGTTACTTTTTACAAGGATAGTTCCTCCAGTTAGTATAAAGAGGCATGTTTTAACAACAAAGCTGTAAAACCAATTAAGTGCTGGCACTAAAGTAGTTATTTTAAAAGTCCCCTTCAACGAAAGAAAAAAGTACAATAATTACAGCAGTAACAGAATATTTATAACATACTCCTAAAGAAACATCGTAATCTTCTGGAGTAAAAGGCTTATCTGTCAGGTCCTCAAAGAAATCTGCTAAGGAGTCCAGTGTTTCTTCAGCCAGTTTTTCGTAAGCGGTCTCATCTAAACAGCTACAAATAACAAACAAGCCCATAATCAGGAAAAAAACATGGAAGATGGTATTTTCCCTATAATAAAACCACACCATAACCTTGACGTAACTGTAACCACGATCATATAAAACAACTAGACATTTTTCTAGAAGTAATGTAGGCCACAATCCACATTTGAAATTTTGGTAGTAGAGATCTCTTAACTGAGGAGTACGTACTTCTTTCCTTAGATACACTGACCCCTGTGTACTAAGAGAACGGAATTAGATTTCAAAATAAGGCACCTTCATAAAAGACCTTATGCAAGAATTACTTAGTTTTGAACTCTATGAAGAGAGACAAGCACCTCCTGTTTAGAAGTGCAAGTCATTTGACACCAAGAGACTAGCCGTAGCTGTAAGCAGTTTAGAAACATCACGTGCCATGTCTATGTACAGCATTTGAGTTCTCAACTGAAATTACCAACACAGCCCAGTAATTAGAAGTTATTTGAAGTGTGCTTATGAACTAATACAATTACCTTCCTCTTCAGAGTCTCAGAGCACCCCTGTTGCCATTACGTAAGGCTTACAGCGCTTGTGAGACTGCTTTTTAACCTCTTTAAATAGGAACAAAGTTTAGATCACTTTAATTAATCAAACGTAATTAAGTCACCTAAGTTTTTCCATCCATATCACTCTCAACTTCTAACCGAGTGTGTAGGTGGGTATCTCTAGCAACAGACAATTCAGTGAAATAATTTCTGTGGCCTCCTATGATGGGGCTACAGCATTGCTGGATAAGGGAGGAGCAACTGACATCATGTACCTGGACTTGTGCAAAGCATTTGACACTGTCCCGCACAACATGCTTGTCTCTAAATTGGAGAGAAATTAATCTGACGGATGGAGCACTCGGTGCATAGGGAGTTGGCTGGACGGTCGCACTTTAAGAGTTGTGGTCAACAGCTTGATGTCCGAGTGGAGGCCAGTGACGGGTAGAGTTCCTCAGGGTTGGTATTGGGACCAGCGCTGATTAACATTTTTGTCAGAGGCGTGGACAGTGGGATCGAGTGCACTCTCAGCAAGTTTGCCGACAACACCAAGCTGTGTGGTGTGCTCGACACGCTGGAGGGAAGGGATGTCATCCAGAGGGACCTGGACAGGCTTGAGAGGTGGGCCCATGTCAACATTATGAAGTTCAACAAGCCCAAGGGTAAGGTCCTGCATGTGGGTCAGAGCAATCCCAAGCACAAATACAGGCTGGGCAACGTGTGGATTGAGAGCAGCCCTGTGGAGAAGGACTTGAGGGTGTTTGGGGATGAAAAACTGGACATGAGTCAGCAATGTGCACTCAAAGCACAAAAAGCCAATCGTAACTTGGGCTTCACCAAAAGAAGCATGTCCAGCAGCTCACAGGAGGTGATTCTCCCGCTCTCCTCTGCTCTCCTGAGACCCCATCTGCAGCCTTGTGTTCAGCTGTGGGGCCTCCAACATAAGAAGGACAGGGCCCTGTTGGAGTGAGTTGAGAGGAAAGCCATGAAGGACTGGAGCACTTCTCCTACAAGAACAGGCTAAGAGAGTTGGGGCTGTTCAGCCTGGAGAAGAGAAGGCTCTGGGAAGACCTCAGAGCGGCCCTTCTGTACTTAAAGGGAGTCTACAGAAAGAAGACGAGGGACTCCTCATCAGGAAGTGTAGTGACAGGAGTAATGGTAACAGTTTCAGTCTGAAAGGGTAGATTTAGATTAGAAATTAGAAAGAAACTGTGAGGGTGGTGACGCACTGGAATGGGTTGCCCAGAGAAACTGTGGAAGCCTGGCCTTGAACACCTCCCTGAAAATGTTCAAGACCAGGCTGGACAGGACTTTGAGTGGAAGGTGTCCCTGGTCATGGCAGCAGAGTTAGAATGAGATGATCTTTAAGGTCCTTTTCACCACTTCTATTTCACATTCTATTTCATTTTTTGTTAATTGGTATGACAAGTTACTGTGAACTACGCTGACTTACTGTCTTTCAGATGATTATACAGAACATTTCTTGTGGGTTTTTTTCAAAGTTTCTTGATAGCCAGTTACGGAAATACATTCTATGACACTTTCGTGCGGGACACCACAGAGAAACAGAAAGCTTTAGGATGAAGAGCATTCAGATACTGGTTCAGAGAGCAGTAAAGGCATTCAATGGTAAGAGCCATTGCAGACATGTACACAATCCTTCATCGGGCCTCTAGTGCCTGCATCAGAAGGGGAGAAGTCTCTGACAGGTACTGTGTCACATCCTGTCAGCACAAGCAGAAATTTCACGTGCCCCGATACATGTGAAATGGTGCTAGATACTTAATGAGCTACAGCAATTATTTCCTCAGGGACCTTCCAAACTCCCTTAAATGCTTTTCAGTAACGCTGTATTTTGCGTTTATGTCATATCAACAGTACATTAGTTTGATAGTCTTACCATGTCTAGAAATTATTTTAAAATACAGAGACTCTATTTTCATGAGTATCTCAAAATAAAATTTACCTTGCATCATAGACAGTTCCCACATTTCTTAAATTTATGAACTGAACAGTCTTGTTCTTCCCCTCTGAAGCATGTTGTAATTGCTGTTCAAAGTAAGTGTAAAATGGAATTAGAAGATAAAACATGAAGAGTTATAAATCACAGATTTGTAACATAAATTAAATAGATTCTTGAAGACCGTTCTATCCTTCCAAGTAAAATATTCAGGTTCTGTCCTACAGACATAATACAGAGAGAATTACGCATCTCTGGTCCTTGGATGGTTAAGGCAATCTAGAATACTCCCTGTTTTCTGATACAAACTAATGAAAAGCAAAGAATTTTATTCACAGAATAGTGAACTAGGAAAGAAAATAACTGTTTTTTTTTCTTCACTGTGCTAATTCAGAAATACTGAGCAACTTCAGTCAACTGGCTTAAGCCAAGATTTTCACAAGTATCCCCTTCTAAGATGGTTCATTATCAACAACTTGTTTCCCTCTGTTACGTATCATGAAAACATTCTACTGAAATACATAGAAGTCTTGAATCCTCCTTATTTGCAAAACAGCTAACATCACACTTCACATTCCAGACTTCTGTACAATATGCTGTTTCACTTCTACTTTATCTTCTGCTTAAAAAAAAATTAAATTAAAAATTTAAAAAACAAATCAGAATTACAGAAAAGCTTTATCAACATACTGGCAACAGGAGACAAGACAGCAAAATGGACATGTCCTTTGTGGACAAGCAACACACCAGCATGGTTAAAAATAAAGTTGATCCACTAGCCTAACACACGAGCAGAAGCATTTATGCTATCCACCAAGAAAGGAAGACAGCATGATTGCTCTTTTCTTCTTAACCCGGGCTATGAAGTGTCATCGGCAATGAAGCGTACATGTTTTTTGACAAACAGTAAGACCGCTTAGCAACTGCTTTTTGTGTACCTGCACGAGGTTCTGAAAACAAACAGAGCAAGCTGAAAAACACGCGACATTTTTAAAAGGAACTATGACAGTCCCTCCACAAGGTCACACGAGGGCAAAACACAAATCCATCTCTCTCCGCACGGTTTGACATCCACCCTCGGGCAGCAGAGACCAAACGGTCTGTTAGACCAAAGCCCTGACAGGCACATCAGGAGGGGAAGCCTCCGCCTACCACCAGTGATGCAGGCTGACAAAATACACGCCGACGACCACGCTATTTTTGACTCTACCCTTTCGCGTTTCAATATGCACTTAGGAACAAGAGCCGCACGACCACAAACACACTCGGGTTCCGGCCGGTGTGAGCGACTGTAGCTCCGCTATCGCGCTCCTGGGCAATTTACGGCCCGAGGCTGCCAACCCGGTGCCGCTGCCACCGCTC